GGAGGAGGAGGAGGAGGAGGAGGAGGAGGAGGACGACGACGACGACTATGGGGTCCTTGGTGCTCTCTGAGCTTGGTGGTTTTCTTGCAGACGTTTCATGACCCAACTAGGTAATATCATCAGTGCTAGAAGGGAGTGGGTTTTGCGGAGAGGAGGAGGAGGAGGAGGACGACGACGACGACTATGGGGTCCTTGGTGCTCTCTGAGCTTGGTGGTTTTCTTGCAGACGTTTCGTAACCCAACTAGGGAACATCATCAGTGCTAGAAGGGAGTGGGTTTTGCGGAGAGGAGGAGGAGGAGGAGGAGGAGGAGAAGAAGAAGAAGAACTGTAGAGTCTTTGGTGCTCTCTGGGCTTGTTGGCTTTCCTGCGGACGTTTCATTACCCAACTAGGCAACATCATCAGTGCAATGCCTCTGCCTGTTCAGAGAAATCCTACTGGTATCCTCATCATCATCATCATCTCTTTCCTGGACGCTAAAAGCAAACTACAACAACCTTGCAGGGTAGCTCGGAACAGATCTCTTTGGGTATTCTTGGCATTCCTTCCCATCCTCTGCCCGCCGGAACCCCAAAATTCCCCCCCCTGCGGTTTCCAAGCCCAGGACGAACAGAGTTGAGCTCTCTTCAAGGCTGCGTCACCTGCTTTGGAGGCTTCCTCAGTTATGGAGGTTAGCACAGCCAGCGATTCGAAGGGCACATCCAGCGGCTCTCCGCCTTCCACGTACATGATGTGGTTCCTTGCTGCCCCCTTCAGCTGGATCACCCGGATAATCTCCTGCAAGGGGTTTCAAACAGCTCGAGGTTTCTAAAATGCCTCTCCGTCACTTACAGTACCTGGTATTATTCCCACCACCTTTTCCAAGGAATCTTGGAAGAAAACCTTCCAAAGGGAAAGAAGCCCTACTCCCTTTAAAACAATATCCTTCAACTTTGGGAACTTATAAGAGTAGAATATAGAATAATAGAACAGAATATTAGTAATAGAATAGAAAATAGAATGGAATAATAATAGAATAGAATAATAGAATAGAGAATAGAATAGAGAATAGAATAGAGAATAGAATAGAGAATAGAATAGAATAATAATAGAATAGAATAA